GACTTTGGGACTTTTCTTTCAGTTTCATTAAAGGTTTTGAGGAGTATTGACATGTAAATTCTTCCTTGATGATATTACAAAATTTGGCAGTGCATCTGTCAGATCTGGGTGATTTTTTTTTTGTTGTTGTTTTTTAGTTGATAAGAAGGTTTTTAAAAAATTACTATTATTTCAATTTTATTGTTCAGGATTTTTAAGTCTTAGTTCAGTTTTGTTAATTCATATATATCTAGGAATTACTCCATTTCTTCTGAGTTCTCCAGTGCATTGGTATATACATTTGTGAAGTAACTATAGTAATAGTGACTTCACTTTTTCATTTCTAATTGCATTAATGTGTATTTTTCCTTTTTTTTTTTTTTTTTTTTGCCTTCAGAGAATGAAGTCTTTGATTTGTTGGTTCTTTCTATTTCACTTCAGGACTCTTGTTTCTGTATGATCTTTAGTTATTTTGGGGGAGGCTTGCTTTGTGGGCATTCATATCTATAAACTTGCCACTGAGGACTGTTTTCATTGTGTCCCTTAAGTTCTAGTATGGAATTGTTTAATTCTAGGAACTGGCTTTTTCTTAAATTTCTTCTGTAGCCTATTGACTATTTAAAAGTATATTGCTTAATTTCCATGCATTTACTTGATTTCTGTGATTGCTTTTGTTATTGATTTCTACTTTCATTGTGTTATGACCTGATAGTATGCATGGTAAAAGTTCAGTTCTTTTGCATTTGCTTAAGCGTGCTTTATTTGCTAACATGTGGTCTTTGAAGAAAGTTCCATGTACTGCCAAGAAGAATGTGTATTCTGTTCTTGGAACACACATACACACACACACACCTGTTTGTTTAAAGGTTTGATTCAACTAGGTGTGGTGATCCATGCCTGTGACCCAGCACTTGGAAAGATGAGAAGATTTGAAGCCAGCCTGGGTTACATAGTGAGACTGTCTCAAAAAGAAAAAAGTTTGGTTCAACTGTTGATATGTCTTTTTGTTTTTTGTTCTGTTTAGTTGATCTATTTATGATAGTGGACTATTGGAGTCCCTCTATAATTATACTGATCCTTAGCTTTTAGGTCCAGTAGTGGACCTAAAATGCTATAATTTGTTTAATATATATACAAGCTAAAGATTGCTTAATGAAGTTTGGTGCACTCTCTTCCTATTGAGTGGTTCCCTTAATATGTAATGACCTTCTTTGCCTCTTATTATTTTTGGCTTAAAATGGAGTTTGTCTTAACATAGCATAGCTACCCGTGCTTATTTTTACATTACTGTTGCATAGAATATTGTTTTCCATCCTTAGGTCTCTGTCATCTTTTCCTTTAATAATTACCATAGCCTCCTAACATGGGAGGTTATGTGATTGCTTTTGCTATTGATTTCTACTTTCATTGTGTTATGACCTGATAGTATGCATGGTAAAAGTTCAGTTCTTTTGCATTTGCTTAAGCATGCTTTATTTGCTTAAGTGTTCCTACTTTTGCTGGAAAAGTGTTCCTACTTTTGCCCTTGCTCTTAACACTTGTCTGTACAGCATCTGAAGTGATCCTGGATGTATTTTAATAAAATGCAAGTCAAGTTATAGTACCCTTCTAAATCCGTCCTGGCTTGCCTGCTTGCTTGCTTTTTTTTTTTTTTGCATTTTAGTACAGGGTCTACAGGGTCTCACTACACAGATTGGACTCGTAGTGAGTGATTGACCTGTTTTCAGCCTCCCAAATGCTGGGATTACAGGTGTGCCACCATGCCCAGTGTCAATCACTGTCTCAGTGTGCCCCAGGGGTGGGGTCGGCTTGGCAGGCAGGGGATAAACCCTGGCCACTGTGTTCTGCCTGAGCTATTTGGCCAGCTCCGGTCCTGGCTTTCTACAGGAAAAAAAGTAAAGGCCTTACAATGGCCTACAAGATAATGATACATTTTTTGGCCATATATATGACTCCCCCCCCCTTTTTTTTTTTTTTTTACCTCTGTGATCTTTAATTACTACCCTTCCTCTTGATTGATTCTACTCTAGTGACACAGGCTTCCTTAATCTCAGAACATAACAAGCACATTCCGGCTTGCTTTTCTATGACCGTTCTTGCCCTGTTCCTTTCCTTAGGTTCATTGTCATCACATTGATAGAAGCTTTTCTTATCCAGACAGTTTTAGTAACAGCTGTTGATTCAGTTCAGTGTGATGGGTTAGGCTTAGCATGCTTGCTACCAAGAGGTGGAGGCACAAAAATTCTGAGCGTGAGGCTAAAGACAACCAGTCCCTCCATTTCAGTTCATATCCCTATTTATCCTTCCTTTTCCCTAAATAACTACCATTTCAAGTACTGGTTATTTATTTGTTGTGTCTTTTTCCCAATTAAAGTTAAGCTCTATAAAGGTACAAACTTCACTAACTGCTTTCTCCTTAGAACTTAGCAGTGAATGTTATACAGTAGCCACTTACCTATTTGTTAAGAGAATAAAACTATATTCTGAACATCAGATTATGAATTTAATGTTCAGAGTATATTTAAGTTTTCAGAGTTGTCTATAAATAGAGAAAGGAACAGAAATCTTAAGAATTACAGGTTTATGTTACCACACCTGGCTGGGAAGATTTAAATCATATTCTCTTCTGTGAGCTATGGCAATAACAGATTGAGTATTTTTCACTTTCTCCTCAGTTTCCAGTAGTCAAATGAAATCTCTGCATTTGGGCAAATAGTAGATACTTATGAATGCCCATTGTAAATATGTCCTTATCCTTCATTTCTCATTCTAACAGGAAAAGATTATTGTGCTCCATCAGCTAAACCCATAACTGCTCTGGATTATCATCTCCTTTTGACTTGTAGGAAATTCACTTCACCTTGTGGTGGATCTTTTCTCATAGTCTTATTTTTCAGAACGGAGCATCTTCTTTCTTTTATGTTCCCCTTAGCTTATACTACCCTGATCTGTCTCTCAGTCCAACGTGTAGAAGTTGTCTAAATCTGTCATTGGTACTTTCTCACTTCTTTAGTCAGTTTTCTCTTTATCTTGAAGCATTTGATATTGACTACTTCCTTTCTTGGAGCACATTCTTTTCTATTGTTGTGCATTTTCTAGATTTTTTTTCCATGTACCTTCAGTGTTGCGTTCTTCAGGCCACTTCATCTCAATTTCACAAGTGATGTAACTTCTTTGGCCAGGTTTCTTATTGTGTATGTATTGATAATTCTCACCTCTGCTTTTAAAAAGGAGACAACAGTTCTGTCTGTGCTTCAGACCAGTAGGTCTAGTTTTCTTACTTCTGTATCTCATAGATAGTTCAAACTCAATAATCTTCAAACATGTACTCATTAACTGCTCTCCTCCATCTAGAACATTTTCAGGAATTTCCTTTTACTGAATGGCCATCCACTTGGCTGCTCAAGGTGGAATCCCCCTTATTCGTTCTCATTTTACCTCCTTTGATTCTTGAAGTGGTTATTCTGCTAAAATAGTAAGTTTTAAGGTATTTGAGGCAGTTTTCTTGGTTGTTGGTTAAACCTTCTAGTTTTCATTACTGTTATACATACAGAAGTTACTAGATATGTTAGATATTTCTTTTTTTTAATCTGTGGTGCTACAGATTGAGCCTGGGGCCTCTTACCAAGCACACTATACCACTGAACTGTATCCTAGCTCAGCATGCTGGATATTTAAGGTTATTTTTACCATATATATTAGTGATTATTACAGATCTAGAGTAAGATTTTTAGTTTTCCTGTAATAAAGAAAAATTTGGAAGTTGGTTTCTCCAGAGGATTATTGTATTGGCAGTATTTGTTCTGAAATATAATCAGCATAGAGATGTTTTTGTCTGGTAAGAAAATGGCTGATTTCTGCCATATTCACTTTTTTTAAAAATCATTTTATCTTGTCTGGTTTATAATAAACTTAAGCATAGAAATTGCCTTATAATTCTGAATATCCTCCTGTAGTCACGTCATGGACCTTATATACATCTTATATACATTTTATTTGTTATTGTATTTAGTACAGGGTCTTACAACATAGATGGGACTTGTAGTGATCCTCCTGTTTTCAGTTTCCCAAGTGCTGGGAATTTCAGGCATGTGCCACCATGCCCAGTCTCATTCGCTATCTCGGCACGCCCTGGGCAGGGCCGATACAGCATGCTGGGTATCGAATCCCCGGCAGCTGCACTCTGCCCAAGCAGGCGCTTTAATTCACTGAGCTATCTGGCTGGTCCATAATATCTTAGTTTTGATTAACTTTAAAGCTTAAATTTGTGAGTAGCAGTTACATATGTGTCCATATTGTGCATTCTGTGCAGTTCAGTTCTGTGCAAATTGTGAAAGATTAAAGACATTAGAATTTGGGGAGAGGCCGGGAGAGGCCGGGAGTGGTGGTTCATGCCTGTAATCAGCACTCGGGAGGCTGAAAACAGGATTGCTGTGAGTCCGAGCTGCATACTGAGACCCTGTACCAAATACATAGTAAATCAATAAATCAGTAAATAGAATTTGGGGAGATAGCTTGGGAGTCTAAGCGCCTGTCTGGCAAGTGCAAGGACCAAGGTTTGAATCCTGGTACCAAATGCTTGCCAGCCCTGCACCGAGCTGGCCATTTAAACCAGGCGTGGTGGTACACGCCTTGAATCCCAGCACTGGGGAAGCTGAGACAGGAAGAGCACTACAAGTCTGAGTTGCTTAATGAGGCCCTGTACCAAATGAATGAATGAATTGAAAAAATTCAAGACATTAGAATTTGTTCTGGCCTGAATCTGTTACTGGATTTGTTGACTAAGCAAATGTAATGGAAGTTTCCCTTTCTTACTGAATTTATGTTTTTATCTCTGATATATTTAGTAGATTGATTAGAAAGGAATAAGCTATAAGTAGCAAAGATTATGCTGTATAAACAGGTGACCTTTTTTTTTTTTTTTAAACTTTACAACATACTAACTTGATCGTACAGGAGTTCAGACCTCACACTTTCTTCCTCTTCAGTGGGCTGTTTCTCATCTATGTTTTTTTCTTTAGATATTAGGATCAAGGAGGAAGAGCCTGATCCTGAAGAATGGCAGCTCAGTGGTGATTCTACATTGAATACCAATGACCTAACACACTTACGAGTTCAGGTGGTAGATGAAGAAGGGGACCAACAGCATCAAGAAGGAAAAAGACTTCGGAGAGTAGCCTGCACCTGTCCCAACTGTAAAGAAGGTGGTGGGAGGTATGCAGACATAAAACCATGCTCTGTGGTGTTCCTTTCTTTTAAAGAGAGTGAATATCATCACCCTAATTTCTTAAAAATAGTGCATGCTGTGTCACTTAAATTTTTTGAGACAGGGTCTTGCTGGGTAGTCCAGGCCGGTCTCAAACTCATGGCAGTCCTCCTGCCTTGGCCTCCCAAGTGCTGGGGTGATAGGCCTGTGTCCTCACACCCCACGCATGTCATTTTAATTATTGGAAAGTATTTCATTACATGATCATTTTTGGTGTGTGATCAAAGGAGTGTGCCAGAAGTTTGAAAACTAAATGTATGAAATTCAGTTTTTAGTTTTGAATGCCTCTTAAAAGTTTTCAGTTTTTTAAACAGTGTATCAGACACAGTTTTGTAGATTCACACCAGAAATTAGCCTTTTTGCAGAGTGGCAATGAGTTTTCTCTTAAAGATTTAAAAAGTTGATTCTTGGCTTGAGAATTGCAGCTATATAAAAAATAAGCTAAGAAGTTCAGAAATAGTCTTTATGATGGGATTTTAAAGTGTCACTATAGTATTTCACTTCAGTGTTTTAAAAAATAAACAGATGGGCTGGGAGATGGTTCAGTAGAATAAGCGCTTCCCTGGTAAGCGCAAGGGCCTGAGTTCAATCCCTGGTTCCACAGAAAAAAAACAGAAGCCATCAGTAATTGTTAAAGGTGGGTGAATTACGTTAAGAGATTGTGACTCATGATTTTTTAAAACCTATAAAATTCAAACTGATAATTATAAAGAACACCTTGCATACTTGACACAATAATATTAAGAAGATGAAGGATGAAGAAAGATTAGGTAAATGTTGACATAAAACTTGGATAATAATAGGCATGGTGGAATTAAGGTAGGAAACATTTAATGGACAGCTAAGGGTATATTAGTAATAAAGGTTTACTAGTCTTGGTATTTTATACACAGCTTTGAAGTAAAGTCTGCTAGAGCTCCAAAGCCATATCAACCACATCTTCAAGCCATAACAAAGTTTTAGCTTTTATGCATTGTGTAAGCAAACATGTATATGTGGTATAATTATGATGTACAGTTTACAAAGTTATTGTTTTTCTGCCTGTTTGGGTTGGTCTTAGATGATTTATACCTTGGCCAGCCCATTTGCGTTAATACTAATAGTAATGTCTAACAACTGCTAACATTGAGAACTTACTGTGTTCCAGACCGTCTTAGTTGAGACAGTCTTAAATGACTCCTAAGAACACAGGCACCTGGGATTTGGACCCAGTTATGTAATCTAGAGCCCCCAACATTATACTTTATAGCCTGCAGAGTACATCTGCTTGTGTATCTGATCTTTGTTTATATTTATCATAATTATTCAGTTTAAAATTATTTGTTCCAGTGTGGAACAATGGCTAGGCAGAACCTTTTCTGAAATTGACTCTCATTTTAGAGACCCTTCAGAATGTAATGATTTATGTAAGTCAGATCTAATTAGAGGCCAAGTCCAGCCAATATTTACTTTTTAAAAATGTTTTAATTAATTAATGTTTATTAAATTAACACTTGATCCAAGAAATTCAGAGGTAACAGATATTTTTAAAAACACCCAAAGCCTACCCCATTTCAAGATGACCACTGTATAAACATTTTAAATGTATTCTTCTATACGTAAGGTATATTTTAAAGTAGCATCATTTTTTTTTCATGGTTTTACATCTCTTAATTTTTTGTGACCACATATCCAAGTCTGCATCATTGTCTGTGACTGTATAAGTATTACTGTATGAATGTATTAATAATTTTAACATCTTTGTTGAGGGGGCTTGTCATAATCTTCATACGTGTCATAACATACTTGTGTGATTATCTTAGTATAAATCGACAGAAGTGAAATTGCTGCGTCAAAAGGAATTGTCTGCTAGAAAGACTGTCAGGTTCTATTTCTACCAGCAGTGAAAGTCTCTGCTTCCCCAGATTCTGACCAACAGTGGGCTTTTCAACATATCTTCTAACCTTTTCAAGTTTGATAAGTGAAAAATAGTTCCTCAGTATATTGTTTTGTTTACTGTTTTATTTAATGACTTTGTGAGGCTATAATTTTTTGTTTCACCATCTTAAAATTTATTTTGGGAATTATTTCTTTTTTGACTGTTAATTTGTGTATTAGCTTGTGTTGTGTGTGCAAATTATGATTTTCCTGATTTTACATTACCTTCAACTTTGTTTATATCAGCGGCCTACCAAAAGTAATGTAAGTGAAGGAGTTCCATCACTTGAGTTTTTAAACTTATTACTACAAAATTTTAAATTGCTCTTTTATTAGGTGCTTCATTATTATTAAAAGTCATACTTAATCCCTAGAAGTATAAAAATATTTTTTTTGCCTAAAACTTTAATTTGTATTTATTTTTGAGATATATCACTGTGTAGTCTAAGCTGGCCTTGAACTCATTGCATAGTCTAGAGTGGCCTTGAACCCATGGTAAACCTCCTGCCTCAGCCTCCCAAGTGTGAGGATGTCAGCACTAGGGCTGGCTTCATTTTTTAATAGCTTGCTTTAAGCAATAAAAATGAAGGTTCTTAAGAAAAACTGTTGTTTTAGAGTTCATTTAGTGTACACACAGCAAGCATATTTTGTCTATACAGTTGTGTTGTTTTTGTCTTGGTGTGTTTGTTTGTTTGAGACAAGGTCTCACTATGTAGCCCAGGCTGGCTTTGAACTCCCAGTGATCCTCCTGCCTCAGCCTTCCAAGTGGTAGGATTATAGGCATGCATCACCACTCCTGGCTTTATATAATTATTATATCTGATTGGTAGAAATATATTGAATCCAACATATTCTGAAGTGTTCTACAAAGATCAGATAGGTGGCTCTGAAATTTTTTTTGTTGTTGTTGTCTTAAAGGAATATTGGCCCTTCTCATTTAAAAGAAAGAAATATGAATAAGATGGCATTTTAAAAGAACTGATTTCATGCATTCATCTTGAGAGAACTGTTTTGTTTACCTTTGTGAGCAAGATGTGAAATAAAATATTCAAAACTATAATCATTTCACCAATTTTCATTGAGCAGAGCCAAACTTTAGGAACTAGTAAGAGAGATAGTTGGAATAAAGTAAGATTCTAAAGGCATTATTGCTGTAGGTTTTCTAAGGATTAAGCATCAATTCATATGAAGTTATGCAAAATCTTGTTTTCTTTGTCAACATTTCAGCTTATGTCTTGTTTTTCTCACCCTAAGCAAAAGATACTGGATGTTTTAACTACTCCCATCCAGAGTTTATGTTTTTCTGATTCACTATATTATTATTAAATTATTATGGGGGAGCAAGTTTAACCATTTAGAAAGACAAACTTAAAATTATTAATTTTTTTCAGGTCTTATAATAGATACTAGCAGTGATTATGTTTAATGCTGAAAACATGATTTTTTTTTTTTTTTTTTTTTTTTTTTAGTACAGAGTCTCCAGGGTCTCACTACACAGATTCATAGTGATCCTTCTGTTTTCAGCATCTCAAGCACTGGGATTACAGGTGCATACCACCACACCTAGTCTGAGCTGCTGTCTCATCATGCCCCAGGTGCACGGCACAACAAGGATCAAACCCTGGTCCTGCATCTGGCTAAGCGGGTGCTTTAAGAACACATGATTTTGCTAGGAAATCCATTTTAGTTCTCTCCCTATCTTTGTAGTACAGGTCATTAATGTATATCTAGCATGTAGAGATCTTAAATCAGATTTTCTGTTTAGGGAGAAATTTTGAACTGACTGTTGAACATTTTTCTTAAAAAAATATAAGCAGTTAAATTACATGTGACTTTTGTCTTTTTTTTTTTCCTTAGAGTTTGTCCTATTTTCAAACAATGAATATTTCATCTTTATCCTTATAGTTCAATTGAAAATCTTTCCCTGCTGTTTTTTAGTCCTTTGAGAACCCTGTTGTTAAAATGTTTTAGTTTTGTGCCAGTTAGTGTTTCCAGACTAGGTTTGCTCAGTCTGTGAAATAGAATTTTTGAGTGTACAGAAGCATACTGCTCCACCTGAATGAAAGTCTTGGAGGAGAGGCAAGAAGTCATGAGTTAATGAGTGAACTGAATTGGGTTCTCTGTGAAGTTGCTAGGATGAATAAATTTGTAAAATTGTTTTGTGTACCACTAGCCACAAACATTGCTCTTTTCTTAGGATTTAGGAATACAGCAAATTTTAAAAGGCTAAATTAACTGGAAACAGTAAGTCTTTGGCATTACCAGTAGAGCAGAAAACCTGTTTCACTCAAGCCAGCTGTTTGAAGAGAGTTGTAGGAAGTGGGGGTGGACTGGAGCAGAAACTATAATTGTGTTAGATGATGAGATCCTTGCCCGTGAGACAACAGCATGACTCCTCCTTGTCTTTACTTATGCTATCCCTCTGCCCGGAATGCCTTCCCTCCCTTCTATCTAAATCCTATCCACCTCCACGAAGCCTTCTCTAACTACTGGAGCCCACATTGATGTCTCCCTGTTCAGAACACCTATGGCATCTAACAGCCAGCACTGCATCGTTTAGCACTGTTTGTCCTATGGCAATTTCACATACTACTGAGTGTGAGTACATTAAAATATAAATGTGGTGAAATATGCATTTTCTAGTAGAATTTGAAAAACAACAGATGTATTGTATACAGGAGGATTTACAGGCTACAGAAGGATTATAGGCTACACCTAGATTGTGAGATTAGGGGAGGAGGGCGGGAATTTAGTTTAAACGTACTAAAAAAATAACAGATAAACATTACAAAGTTTATAGAAGTGATTTTGCTAGCTGTAGTGTCCAAAAGCATGTTTTAAAGAACTTTATTTAGTAATGAACCTGATTTGTGTTTCTAGAAGTAACATTTTCATACATTTTAATTCAAATGTCAGTTCTGGAGTCAAGAGCTTTCTTCTGGCTTAGGCTAAGATGCTTCGGTTCACTCATCTAAGCACCTGTCTCTCAAACTCTGTTCTTGCTATCAGATATGGAAATGTGATGTCAAATTTTGTGATGTGGAGAAAGTGGTATTTGTTATGCTTATGTATATGATTTGGGATGTCTTTGCATGGTTTATAGGAGGTAAATTTTAACTGAAGATAATTTGATTTACATGTGTCTTATTGAATGCTAAGGGAGTTAAGAATAGCTTTTACCTAGGTTTTTAAAGACTTTCAGTCAGTATGCAGGTTTTGCCATTGGAGTAAATGTGCTTAAGTTTTGTTTAGTTTAATGCTACTTAAACTATCTGTATTTAATTATACTGTGATTAATTATTGTATATTTTTTCTTAGATATATATGTATGTTATCTAATATTATGGATTTTCAAATAAAGATTAGTTTTCCATATAGTGAACTCAATTGAATTGGCCAAATGAATAGCTATTACGAATGTTTCTGATGAAATAGTAATTAGCTTTGCTGTACCTTCTTTAACTTTGAAGTGTCCTTTTAGTATATGTGCTGCTGAAGTGTCCTTTTAACTACATAATTCTTGAGCATATTTGTAATTTGACAGCAATCATTAATTCTGAAGTAAAGTTAATATATAAAATATATTTGAACTATATGAATTTTCCTTAGATTTAAAATGGTCTTGGTTTCTGGTTGACTTCATGGTGATAATGTCTTGAAGCTCAATATGAGGATGTGAGATATAAATGACAATGCCTATTAGAAATTTTTATGAAAGTGTGTATTTTCTGTTTTTTAGAGGTACCAATCTTGGGAAAAAGAAACAACACATTTGTCATATACCAGGATGTGGTAAAGTGTATGGGAAAACCTCGCATCTGAGAGCACATCTGCGTTGGCATTCCGGAGAGCGCCCTTTTATTTGTAATTGGATGTTCTGTGGTAAAAGATTTACTCGAAGTGATGAGTTGCAGAGGCATAGAAGAACACATACAGGTTATTAATATTTTTCTTGTTATTATTGGGATTCAAACCCCTAGACCTTTCCCACACTTAAGCACACACTCTGCCTCTGAGCTGTACCCTCTAGCCTTTCTAATTATTTGCCTTTAATAGACAAAAATGAATTACAGGGCTATGTGACTTCTTTCAAATGTCTTGTACCATACCTTTAAGTTGTTTTCACTCTTGACCCATTTTATTCTTCTTAATGCTGTAACAAGACTAATTCTTTTGATAAATTTGAGTGTTTTACCTTTTTTATTTTGGTATCAGTGAAGTAAGGGACCTTTGATCAAGGAGTAGCCACAGCATTGTTGATATCAAAACTCTTCACTTACATGGTGTTGTATAGTTATTATGAGTTGGACTTAGGCCTGATCCAAGCTGAAGTCTTAACTTTGTATAATTTTTTCCTGCTACCATGTAACAATATATAAACAGAGTGTTCACCAGTGTATGCTCAACATTGAAGAATTGAAAAATAAATATTTGCAATTTGCAGAGAGCTTAGAAGAAGTGTGGTGAAGTGGAAAACAAACATGAATTTTGAAGTCTTCTACATCTGGATTCCAATCCAGGTTCTGTATTAGATCACACAAATAAGCTGTCTCTGAGAGTGCTTCATGATTAATTTGACCTTAAAATAAAGGTATAAAAACTGTGAAGCGTGTTATGTGTAAGATTCTCTCTGCTTTCTTTCATTCTGATTTCTTACCAGGTAGCTAGACAGATGAGATTAACTTGTATACAACTGCAACAAACAATATAATTAGATATAACAGATTTTGTGTTCAAGTTTGTGCTGTTGAACATGCTCAGAAGGAAAGATTATTGTTTGGGATAGTAAGATTGTTCTTGGGTAGTGAACTGAGATCATAGACCTTAAAAACATCCTCAACAGAATTTTACTCAGTGGAATATGATCGGTAGGTTGTAGAAAGGAATAATGTAGGGGGGAGGTAGTCCTTGGAGCAAATAAATTTGGGTTATTTGTTAGCTAAGGTAAGTACTAGGCTAAAGAAAGTACCAAGTACCAATGGCGTAAGGCACTACAGTACTTTGTTGGACTTTTCCATGGAATGCATCTTTAAGTGAAGAGGATGTATGTAGTATTTCCCGACATCATTTGATTATTTTGTCATTTGATATAGACTGATGTCCCAAGAGAAATTTCAGGAAATACTAGGAATATCACCTGGGAAAATGGTGATATGTTGACAGAAATGAGAGGCCATTTTATGAAGCTAATAACATGAGTGAAGATGAGTTTTACATAACCAGTGGGACATCTGAGCTATTAGTTTCAAGTTACCCTTGCATTTCTATAGCTTTTAGTACAGAGTTGAGGTTTTTAAAGTGTATAAAATTCAATATTTTTGGAAGAGGAATATGTCATGGATTTGTTAGATTGCAGAGGGCATAACTAGCATTTCATTGCATTACAGTTTATAGTTCAGGCATGAAATCTGGTATGAACCTACTGACAAGTGCTGGAATGAGGAAAAATAACCTAGGGAAATGTTGACTAGATTTGATTGCTTTCTCTCTGGATTACCTTTTGGTTGGGCTTTGCCTTTTCCATATTTCTCTTATCTAGTAAATCTTTGTAATAGAAATTTAGTCTTTTATTTAAAGTATTTTATTCATGTTGGAAAATACGTTAACTTTAACAATATATGAGGCTTGTTCTTGGTTATCCATCCGAAACCAGATCAGTGAGCTGGTTCCATTATTAGAGTTAATCAATCTTGGGCTGGGGAGATGGCTCAGTGGAATAAGCGCGTCCCTGGCAAGCGCAAGGGCCTGAGTTCAATCCCCAGTTCTGGAGGGGTGTGTGTGTGTGTGTCTGTCTTTTGGGGCTGGGGAGATGGCTCAGTAGAATAAGCACTTGCCTGTTAAGCTCAAGGGCCTGAGTTCAATCCCTGGTTCCGCAAAAAAAAAAAAAAAAGCCCAAATAATTAATCTTATTGAACCTGTGCTGTATTTGAGAAGTACTGTTTCTTGGTTTCATTATTATTGGAGGTTTAGTATCATGGGCCATGACATATTAATATATTTATAGTTATAATTGTGTGTGTATGTATATCTAGTTACATTTAGAATTTATAGGTCAAATGAATACTTTCACTGAAACTTTGTAGTCTGTTAAGAGATGGCTATTTTTGCTTTTTCTTTTAATAAAGGTATTTCAAATCAGAGTCAAGAGTAGTTGGGATATTGAAGTCTTATATGAATGTGAAAAGCAGTAATATATTTAAGGATTGTTTTTTGAAAGAAAACATTTATTTTGGAGACAGATATTGTATAATAGAAATTTTGAAGGAAGGGACAGCTCATAGAACAGATGCAGTTTTAGCAGATTCATGCTCCTCACCATCAGTTTACTTTCTGTTTCAGGAGCAAGACTGATAAGGCCACCACAATAGAATTTCAAAAACTAAGTAACCTAATTTTCTTTTTAACAGGTGAGAAGAAATTTGTTTGTCCAGAATGTTCAAAACGCTTCATGAGAAGTGACCACCTTGCCAAACATATTAAAACACATCAAAATAAAAAAGTTATTCACTCTAGCAGTGCAGTGCTAGCATCTGTGGAGGCTGGGCGAGATGATACTTTGATTACTGCAGGAGGAACAACACTTATCCTTGCAAATATTCAACAAGGCTCCGTTTCAGGGATAGGAACTGTTAATACTTCCGCCACCAGCAATCAGGATATCCTTACCAACACTGAAATACCTTTACAGCTTGTCACAGTTTCTGGAAATGAGACAATGGAGTAAATATTACACAAATACTTATTCATTGTGGTTATTTTTATACAGTAGTGAGAAGAATATTGTTCCTAAGTTCTTAGATATCTTTTTATTGATGTGCAAAAATTTTTGGATTGACAGTAACTTGGTTATACATGACACTGAAATGCCTTACTTTGTATGATATTCCATAGTATATTAAAAATGGTAAAATTGCATGGGTTTTGTAGGTACTTTTGGAATCTAGAAGAAATGAAATTTTACCAAGTTATATAAAGAGAAAATTGAATTTAACAATGCGAATGGTAGTCTAACCAAATGCATCAATCCTGTGTGGTTTAGTGTAAAAATGAGAACATGTTGGTATTTATCTATTGTAAGATAAAAAAAAGTTGGTGGGTGAAAGAAATCATGTTATGATAAAAATTTTTGTAATTTTCTTGATGACTGGAATTTTTATTATGCATAACTGACAAATCAAGTTTCCAAGCAAATGTTACATAGTGTAGGCTTTACTTAGCTTATCAATTTGTCATTTTGAAGCTAATTATTTTAATTAGGTTAACTATGTACAATATTTTAAGCATTACTCTTGTAAGATTTTGAAAACTACATTTTAACATGGAACTCTAGGGATAGTCACCTTTTAAATCCTGATGAAAAGCCATGTTTAAGATTTAATTTGCCAAAATAATGTCTTGTTAATATTCTTTTGGTAATGAAGTTGGGCAATATAACCATTGTTTAAAAAAGTTTAAAATGTATAGGTTGAGGCATTTGGGTGGCAAGAAAATATTATAGTGAGTTATCCCTTTTCTTCAATATGGGAGGACCAAAAAAATAAGGTGTATTGCGTCTTAGCAGTGATTTTTATTGAATCTTGTTTCCAAAACCGTTATGTCTGCCAGGGCCTTAAAAGCCATTATGTAAATTACCAGTAAAGTATAACATATGCAAACATAACAAAATCACTTCCATAGTGACTGTACTCCAAACATATGGATATTAGTCATAGAAAAATAGAGGTTTTATGATATTTTTTTAAGTAATTTTCTTGTCTAGGTAGTCTGCACTTAAATATCAACGATTTTCCTTTTTTTGCTTCTTCCCTTAAAATTTATATGTATCCAATACACTTAATTGAGAAATGTATGTTTTTTATTATGCTGTATTTTCTTTTTATTTTTTAATTATTGTTTATATTTTCAATTAAAAATGTACAAAATAAAGTTACATTGCTGGTCTTGTAAGAGCTATACAGTTTTCTTAAATGCATACCTATAACTGCAGCAGTTCACCTCTTTCAGAAATTTGGAATTCTGTTTATTATCTTTTAAGACCACCTCAAATTTAAAGGCTACCTTATTGTACGTTTAAAGTGTATTATAACAGTGTGGTAGTTAATAAAACACTATTTTTTTCCTTTTGAGTTTGTTGTATTCCTATCTATGTATTTAAATTTTTGTGATGGGGAGTAAGAAAATCTATGTTGTTTTTCTTTAACTTACCAAATTCTTGATTTCAGATACTGAAATGATAAACGTATGTTTATTTTTATAAAAAGCCATATATAGACGCTGGATGGTTTAATATTTTGCCTGAAAACTAACATGTTTTACTTTAGGGGAAAAAATTAACTTTGAGCTTACACTAATTCATAGTGATTTTATTGAAATCTTTTTTCAAGTGGGTGTTGCAGGTGTGTGGTTTTTTTGACACAGGGTCTGGCCGTGTAGTACAGGCCGTCCTTGAGCTCATTTCTGTAGCCCAGGCTAGCCAGGAACTCACCACAGTCCTTCTGCCTCAGCCTCAGCCTCCTGAGTGCAGGGATTACTTTTGTGCACCCCCATCTGACCATTTATCATTCCTATTTTGCAAACCATTTTTGTGTTTCCTGTTTTAAAGCAATACAAAGTATTTGGATTTACCAGGAACCTAAATTTACATAATACGTCTCAAAATGATAGCATGAAAAATCTTTGGTAGTCATACAGGCAGGAGCTATTCAAAAAAGTAATTTTGAGTGTGAATATTTAATCATGATAAAAGACAGAAGGAGAAGAATGGAAGAAATAATGTTAACTTCCTTTGCCACATATACAGTAGTAGGAAAGGTTTATATACATGGGTTATAGAAATTAATCAGTGGAATGTGAGATTATTTTGAAATTTTGAGGATTAGAATTAGAAATTTGAAACTCCTTGAAGGTTAGTTTGCAGAATTTATTATTTAAGAGCGGAAGATTACATTGAGGCTGTCGCTCACTTGAACAAAACATCTGTTGAATCAGGAGTAAAACCTTTTTAGATCGAGCTGTTTTTAAGTAATCCTGAAATTTTTACATAGAGAACTTGATTCAAGAATTTCTAAACATTTAGAGAATGCAAGGAAGAAAAGTCATGAAAATTAAGTCTTGATTTTCTCAGTACTCTGTAGGAATATATTAGATCTTTTTTCCTAACGAATTATTCAACCTTAAGTTTAAGCAGTTTTACATAGTTCTTTTTTTCTACTTTTAAAATGAATAAACTGGAAATGTAATACATGAAGCATTCTGAAATTGATTTTTATAGTTGCAAAATCCATATTTGTATGATTAACAGATGTGCTGCTCATATATGTATCTGTTATTTATTAGACTAGAGTTAACTAGTTATATTCTGTATGTTTACATAACAGGTAATTTCTATTATAACATAGTCATCTAGTAGATTAGATGTTTGTATTCTGTATGCCTCACAGAAAATAATCACTTAAGTACATCTCATTTTCTAGATTGGTGTGGAACGACTTTGGAAAGCTACTTAACCAGAAAATGTATAAACCTTTAAAAGAGCTACACCTATTGCAGGGTCAGGTGCCTTGTAAATAACTTTGGCCCTTAAAATAGAATGTTTAATATATTTAAAAGTACATGTACAGATAAACTGAAGACATGTCATACGTTTGATAGAAAATAGTTTTTAACCAGTATTGTTAATCAGAAAATGCCAGGCAGCATTTTTTAAAGTCTGTGTAGAGCTGGGTGTGGTGGCACACACCTGCAATCGAAGCATTTGGGAGGCTGAGCCAGAAGGGTAACTGAGTTGAGGCCAGCCTGCACACCGTAGGAGACCGTGTCTCAAACAAAAATGTGTGCCTGGCCTCATCCTTGACCTACTGTGTTTTGCAGCAGGTCCTCAGGTGGCTCTGGTAAATAGTCTGTGTTAGAATCACTTAAAATTGAGCGACCGTTCCCTTACAATCTAATTATATAATTAATCATGGTACTGCCTCCACTGGTTTTCTGGAGTTTACATTTCATTCAGTATTTGAGATTTTGCATTGTGCATGAATTATTTTTTAATACTTGGCTTTTAAATTAGATTGACATGTTAATCATGCTACCCGCTAGACATTTTGGTTTTTCAGTTTAAATTATGTAAAGTTGGTAAAAATTGGCTTCAATATAAATGAATTCTTTGTTTTAGCAGATACAGTATGTTTAAAACTTAACTGCCCCGAATGGATATTCAGTCTTTTGTTACCGGACTGCACAAAACAAGTTAGTTGACTGATACCTTGAGAATAGAATTTGCTATTTTAGTGAAGAAAGGCAGATGGTTGGAGAAAAAAATAACTGACAATTGTATATTGATGAATATTGGGAAATATAAGAATTAAAATAACATTAAGCTACCCAGAGGTGACCGTTCACAGTTTTTCTTTTAAAGTATGTGACAACTGAATTTGAAAATTTAGTTTCATTTGTACTGTAAAACCTTCATGGTATGTTTTCTTAAAATACAGTGCGGTGGTACAAGATGGCTGAATTTGTATTTGGGGGAAATGGCTCTGGTCTTGTCACTTGAAACTAAGTTTGAACAGAAGCAGCATTTTTTTTTTTTTTTTTTTTTTAAAGAACTGAATTGTTTGTGGACAGAAGCATTTGTGAACGGAGGCATTCCTGTATTTACTACAAGATGTGCTGTCATGTGACAGCATTTCACTATGATCAGTGTGTTAAGAAATGACGCATTGAAAAACCTTTGTCTCAGCCTATCCAGTTCCTTTTTTGTTTGTTTTTAATGGCAAAGTTTCGCATTTACTAAAAGGAAGGAACATTGCAGAGTTTGGGCAAGTAGAAGTAAGAAAAGGGCTGAAAATTTTTTTCAAGTACACCCTACAAAGAGGTACTGTAGCTCCATTTTGTACTTTAAAACTCCCTTCTAAATCCATGCTAAGCTATGTGCTAGATATGTTGGATGATTTTTTTTTTTTTAATGTTCTTTTAAAACTCGCTTGTCATCCATAAAAAGGCTACCTAGTAACAGTACTTCTAGGGTAGTTGTGAGGATTAAAATGTTAACATTTACCACGTAGTGCAGGCCTTACAGGAAGGACTTCCTAGGATCCCACAGCTTCTACCACATTAATTCTTAAGACCTGTAGTGAAAGGACCAGTGTTCTGTGGTTTTTATTGTTTGGCTCTGATTTACCCTTGAAGCCTTGTTTCTAAAGCAAAATATGCAAGGAAACACTGAGTCTAAATTGCTAGTGGGTGATATGCCTGAAGTGCCTGCCCCATCAGAAAGGGTGGAAAAGGAAAGGGATGAAGCATGGAAGTGCCTTTGTTCTTGAGTTTTATTTTCCTGATAGAGAAACTTTAGTATTTCTAAGAATAAGGCAAAGAATCTTTAGTTTCATTTTGATTGAAAGATGAAATTAGCGATTTATGCCCCTTTTCTGAGTAGTACTTCCTGTTGGCTTCAGAGAGGAACTTTTCAAATTACTGAGCAAGTAGTGGACATTTGGTGAAAGTTGAGCCATTGCAGTGCTTTATCTTAAGAACATGGAGTTGAAAAGATTATTTGGGAGGCTGAATTTGCAAAGATGCATCGGAGGAAGGTGGAGAATAAACTAAAGGTGACAGACCTTCAACATTGGAAGAAAAAGATAAACAGAATGGCTTTGATCTCTGATAACCGCAGCTTTTAATCTGATGTTTGTGCCTGTCTTCAGTTTCTGCCCTTGGAATTCTGAGTCATTTTAAAACCTTACAATGACGCTGTTTCAGCATAGTGGTAGCACACCTGTAATCCCAGCCCTCTGGGGAGCTGAGGCAGGAGGATCACATGTTTGAGCCCAACTCAAAACAACTTTTAGTGAGACTTTTCCACTCCACTTTTCTTAGAGTTAAGGTCATTCCTTGTGACCAGGTAATCCCAGTGAGACTGTCTCTGGGTCTCGGGACACCCCATTAATCAGACCATTGGGTCTGTGGTCTCGGAATATTGACATTCTGCTAGCATCAGCCTTACTTCATGCCGTGCATGTTTTCAAACTCCGTAAGTTTGCAGTTTTAAAGCAATTTGGTGGTAGTGGCGATTGAACCTAGGGCCACTCTATCACTGAGTTAATCCCCATATAATTTTATTTTTTCAGACAGGGTTCACTATGCAGTTCAGGCTGACTTGAACTCTTTGTAGCCCAGGCTGGCCTCAAACTCCGTGATTCTCGGGCCACAGCCCTCTGAGTGCCGGGACTGTGGTCGTGCTCCACCATGTCCGGTCCCATTTATTTTCTACTTTGAGACAGGATCTTGCTAAGTTACCAAGCTGGCATTGCTCGTCAGAGTCTTCTGCCTCAGCCTCCTGAGTAGTTGGGGTTATAGGTGTGTGTCACAATGCCAGGCTGTCCCTCAGATTGACTTAATTACTTAGTTCTGCTCATACCTCAATTAAAATTCTTAGTTGTATTAGTTGCATCTTCCTCAGTTTTATTAACGTGAAGTTTTCATCATACGACTTTTTCATGAAATGTAAAGCCTTTGGTAAAATAGGGTAATGAAGCCGCAGGTCCTGGATGTATACACGGCTGGACTTCGATCTGGCTCTGCAGCTTAGCTCTGAGACCTTGGTTTTTACCTTCCTACCCTGAGCTTCAGTTTTCTAACTTATGAAATGACAATGATAGCCTCATCTCTATAAGGTGCTTTCGCAGATAAATAATGTACTGGTAAACGCACACAAACTACTTTCCATAGTGCCTGGCATGTATTAATACTACTAATGTTAGCTTTGGACAAACCAATATTCTTCCTACAGTTAAAAACAACTTGGGGGGAGAAAAGAACAACTGGGCCACAGATACAGCTCGGCAGCAAAGCTCCTGCTAGTATTTGGTGCCTTTTTGAAATGAAACATTGTAAACATATCTGTGTTTCCATCATTCAGCTTTTTACATTGATACCATTTTTACATTTGCTTGTTTCGCTGAAAAAGAAATGGTTCGAGCGCTTGCTTTGGCAGCACATACGGTTAGAGCTGTATTTCAAAATCTATAGGCCTGTCTTCTTCCATTTATCTCCCTGTGTCCATAGAGGTACCTGCTGCTGTGAATTCGATGTTTGTTAAAATGATACCATGAATGGCTTCAAATGCTATTAT